AGAGAGAACATCAGCAGCCTGATTTTGGACATACTAATTTGAAATGCCTTTAAAAGTTCCAAGTGCAGATGCTGAGTAGGCGGTTGGATACACTGGCATGAGTGGTGTTCAGCAGACAGTTATGGACTGGTGCTATGCATTTGGAAGCCATGTAGATCTGTGCTGTCCAATGTGGTAGCCACTAGCCACATGCGGCAACTTAAATTTAAATCAGTTAAATGGAATCAAAAATTCATTTTCTCATGTGCTCTAGCCAGGGCACATTTCAAGTACTTTAATAGCCGCCTGGGGCTTGTGGCTACTGTATCAGAAAGTGCAGACACAACACATTGCTGTCATCACAGAAAGTTCCATCGGACAGCTCTGCGAAAGGTCATGGGCCTGAGAAGATCACCTAGAAATGAAGAAAATTAGTGAGAAGGAAAAAGAGATTTTAAGACTGAGCCCTTTATAGAAATGTATATAAGTACACAAGTTAGTGGTGGTGGTGGGGTGGTGGGGTGGTGGGGTGGTGGGGTGTTACAGGCAGGCTTCCTGTTTGTTTGTTTGTTTGTTTGTTTTTTTCCATGAACTAAATTTGCCAAGTGAATAAGGGGACAAAAGACATTCCAGGCACAGGGAATAGTGTGTGTAAAATAACATGGGATGGTTGGGGAACTATAAGAAAGTTGGCATTACTGGAGCAAGGCCATATTATTTTTGTGGAGTTATACACACACACACACACACACACACACACACACACACGCCACAACACCAAACTTCTTTGCTTAAACGATTTTGGACTGACCATGTGATGCTAAGGCTAATCAGTCCACGTCTAATTGGAGGGCAGCATGAGAAGGGGAAAAAGAATTTTTCCCTGTCACTTGTGAATGGGAGTGGGTGTGGGAATTACATTTAGAGAAATGGGTATTACCTCACAACGGATACTACCTAGTTCTTTCAGTGATGAAAATTAACTGTGATATTTATTTTCAATTTTTTGAAGCTTTGTTCAATAAAGACCTGAAAGGTATTTACGCAGGACTGGGTTTCTATCTGGATTGGAGGCAAGCTGAAAAAAAGTTGATGTAGTTAATCAGCTATGGCTTTGATGAAATGTATTCATACACAAACAATCGCCAGGCCAATCATTTCAGAACATGTTTTTTTCAAGATGTCAGTTTGTTTTAATAGTAGGTTGTTATCCCCAATCTACCATATTCTTGTTTTCTTTTCTTTTTCTTTTTTTTTTTTTGAGTTTGCAAAAAGCAATAACTTAAGCCACAGGAAAAAACCCACAAAAATGCTTTTTGCCAATTAAAAGAAACTCTTTCCATTTACATGTGTTTGAACTGGAATAACCTAAAAGAGTTTTTAAAGATTTCATTAGAATAAAAAAAAACTTTAAAAAGTAGACTCTACTAGAATCTCACATTGTCATTCTGTGCTCCCGCAGTTAAAGACCATGCCATTATTTCCATTATACTTACCTCCTAATTTTCGGGGCTTATTAGCCTGGCTGTAAAAACTTGCTCCAGTTGAAATTTGGCAAGCTGACAAGGCTGTGTGCCAGAAGTAATTTACTATCCATTGTGGTTGGCAAAGTAAAAGAAGCTATATATAATAGAAAAAGAAATGAAAAGTCCCTGGTTCCAAATATTTTAATGTGTATAATGTGTGTCACCTCAAACTTTTCAGCTTTTGTTGTTAGCAATGTGAGATAACATGAAAGGTTTGAAAAGTACAGATGCTTTACATTCGCATCCAACAGCGGGCTCAGATGTTCTTAGGCATCAAAGACTGGTCTGTGTCTATCACTTCTGCTCTGACTTTGAAGTCTACCAGAGTTCTCTATGTGGGACAAGCAGACAGGGTGCTTCAGCAAGGTAGGGGGATGGGATTCCAGGTGAATTAGCATTGAAATTGCTTTACCAAATAATAATAATAAAAATAAAAAATAATAAAGGATACGCATTTCTTTGTCTGTTTTTAACCACTGAGCTGTCTGAGAACTTAATCTTCAGATATGACAATGAATAATAGTTAAAGACAAGTTCAAGTTATTTAGAAGTTTACATTTAAGTACTTTGAAGGCAAGAACAGGAGTTTTTACTTGATTTGCAAACATCTGGCTACTGCTCATCTGTCACACTAAGAGGCTGCCTCAGGACCCTAACTGAGACCCTCTCTGCTGTTTCCTAAACTGGGTCATGAACATCACGTGGGGTGTCTCTGCATCATGGGGTGAGCAGGATACATCTTTCTGAGATTAATCTTACTTGATGAACTGGAAACCTAATAATTTATATTAAAACAAATACTAATACATTGTGGACAATGATGCAAAATTTGCATGAAGTCTTTTGGAGAGGGAGGAGGCTTTGGTCATTTGGTCATTGTCATCTTTGGTCATTTGGTTCAATGTTTTGACCCTGCCACACAAATAGAGCCCTCGAACGAAATGATATCCTCAAAAAGTGGGTCTGGTCATTAATTTTTTCCTCCTAAATTGAAGTATAACTTTCATAATGTGCACAAATCCTAAGAATGTATCTCAATGGATAGATTTTTGCATATGTGTACAACCATAAAATAATCACCCAGATCAAGTACAGAACATTTCCAGCTCACAGAATGCCCCCTTGGGCTCCCTCCCAGTCGTATCTGCTCATTAATCTGCCATTTATGGTGAATTTTAAAGGTCAGATAAAAGACTAAAAGGAATCTCAAGCTTTACAAGGAGTACTTTAGAGCTCCACACTCAAGAGAACCTCTTCTCTGGCCCCAAGGCTCCTAACTGAAGATGAGCTCAGCTAAGCCTTCTGAGACCCGGAGGGCTTTATTCAAACACAGTTTCTTCTGCTGTATTGGGCTTTCACTAGTAGGTGCTTTTTACCTCTTCAAGGGCTCCTTCATGGGTTGATATTTAAAAATATTTGTGGTAGCAGGTTAGCTAATATATAAAGAACTAGAACAATGCTCTTTGTAGCTGGGCAATGTAAATCTTAGATAAGTAATAGCTTATTATGAGATGCAGAAGAGACAAAGAAGTCTTTACTATTATCATTATAATAATTCTTAGAGCAAGATAACAAACAAGCTAAATTTGAAAATAAATTAGGAGAGTATTTATAGTTGCGTTGATTAAAAATCATATTTATCTATCAAATTTGCCTTTAAATGAAAGATAATCTTTCAGAGCTTTTTGACTCCCTTGTACCTACAGAAATTTATGAAGTGCCTTTTCTTATTCTGTCATCCATTTATTAGATGTTTATTATATTCTAGACATTGTTCTAAGCTCCCCGGCTATCCAGTGAACAAAATAACAATTCCCTGTCCACATGAAGCTTACTGGTGGCACTCCCACTCTTACTGTTAACGTAAGCCACAGGCATTTTTCTATCATAAAGAAATTTCATCTTCGTTTTACTTCCATGATTTCCTTCCACTTCCCTAGTGTCTTAAAGCTGAGGGAATTAAGAAATTATGAAGCTCACCCTGGCTGGTGTGGCTCAGTGGATTGAGTGCTGGGCTGTGAACCAAACGGTGGGTGGTTCCATTTCCCGTCAGGGCACATGCTTCCATTGCTGGTCAGGCTCCCCCAATTGGGGTAGTGCAAGAGGCAACCACACACTGATGTTTTTCTCCCTCTATTTCTCCCCAGTTTCCCCTCTTTCTAAAAAATAAATGAAATCTTTTTAAAAAGACCCTGTTTCATTAAAAAAAGAAAGAAAGAAATGATGAAGCCCAAGTCAACCTTTGCTTCAATTCTGACACCAGTGGGGTAAAACGTGAAAGGGGAAAAAAAAAAAAGAGTACAGAGGTGGAACGTGGTTAATGCCGAGCCTATCCTCCTATTATAAATCACACAGAGGATCAAGATGCTAATGTGAATCCTGAAATAAACAGGTCTAGCCAGAACTCCTGCTTTGGTTCTTTACCATCTTAAAAAAGAACTAAGCCATGTAGTTATTTTGAGTTTAGTAATTACACCAGCAATGTCACTTCCAAGCTGGGTTGTGTGAGGTTCTTTTAGAAATGCTAAGTTGTTCTGGTTAAGGTTTATTGATTCATTCTGGCAACTTACAAACGTTTCAATACCGAAATCTTTTCCAAAAAAAAGTTTCTGATATCCACCCAGGGATATGAGTGTTGAAAGATCTTGTCCAATACAGCAAGGACAATCATTTAAATAATAAAAATATCTCCCCATTTAAAAATTAATCAGCCAATTATTGGTTCTAATTGAAAAAGCAGTTATCACACTGGTTTACCACATCTAGTGGAAAGCAGATTGGTCAGTTTTTACACTTCCTACATTTTCATTACTGACTTTTTTTTTTGAAATGTTTTCTTATACAGGGGTGGACAAAAGTAGGTTTACAGTTGTATATGAAACAGGGTTTATTCTTATATTATTGTTTATTAATTATTGTATTATTTTCCATATGAACAATGGTAAACTCACTTTTGCCCACCCTGTACTATAATACCCTCTATCTATTCTTCTTTGCTTTTTGGGGGGGGAGAGGGGTGGTTCTTGTTTTTTTTTTTTTAGGTTATAATGCAATTTTATTTATTTATTTTTAGTTTTTTTTTTAATTTAGTTATTTTTCAAGTACAGGTTTTTGTCTATTTCTCCCAAGAGGGGTGGTTCTTGGTTTTGGAAAGCAAGGATGTGAGAAGCCAGCCGAATAAAGGAGACAATTTTTCTGCAAAAAATGCCTTTTCACGTCTTCCCCAGGTAACTCTTACAGACCTGCAGCCGCATTTTCCTAACTCCGCCCAGGTCTAGCCTCGCGCCGATTTACCCCCGCCCCGCCCTTCCACTCCAGTCCCCGGGAGCCCTCGGGCGGGGGAGGGGCCCTCGAGTGGGGGAGGGGCCCTCGGGTGAGGGAGGGCCCCTCGCTGCAGTACCACAGTCAGTCACAGGGTGGAGACAGCGGCCACCCGTGCGGGAGGGCCGTCTCCAACGACGGAAGCGGAAGAGGTGGAACCTGCAGCCCACGTTACGCCCCCACGTGCGAGCGTTGGGGCTGGGTCTCCCGAGTAGACGGTGGACTATTCCAGTGTCTGTTGGAGGTTCTCTCGTTTGTGTTCTAGAGTTTGGACCTCATGGCGGAGATAATTCAGGAACGCATCGAGGATAGACTCCCCGAATTGGAACAGCTGAAGCGCGTTGGACTGTTCAGTCACGCGGAGATTAAGTGAGCTGAGAAAGGAAGGGCTGGGGAGGGCAGAGAGGAGGTTTGCGGCGAATGTGAGTGTGGCGGGGGCGGGGATGGGGAGCATTTGAGCTGTGTTTATTTTTCTCATGCGGCGGAAGTTCATTTCTAATTTGTATGATGTCTAGAATTAATTTCTTTTCGTTGCAAAGTCATCTGTCCCACCAAACATATTGACAGCTAGCTCTTCCTGGAGCCAGGTCTTGGGACTATGAAGGTGGTAAAACCAGGATCCCTTCCCATCAGGAGCTAACTGCCTTGTGTATGATGGGGATGACAGACGGGTTAAACGTGTTGATTACAGTGCGGTGTACTACTCTCAGTTGATTATAGTGGAGTGTATACTCTAGAGATGCAGAAGGGCCAAGGGAGCCCCGGAGGTGTAGATAAATCTAACGAGGCTTGAAGATGGGGACTATTTACTTCACTTTCGTATTCTGTCCCAGGGCTTGGCCAGCAATATCTGGCACAAAGTTGGCATTCAGTAACTTGTTAAAATTAAGTTTAGTGGTTTTAAATGGTTTTCTGCGACTATTTCTAAATTTTACAATGACTGAATGTAGTTATGTGACTGTGGGATCCTTGAATGTTGTTAATGAAACGCAACATATCAGTGTGGACTCTTAATAAGGGCTCAGTAAATGTTATTGTTATAATTAACTAGAGACAGTTATTGGTCTTGGATATGTTGTATTAAGTTCCCCTAATATGCACATGTTGTGTGTTCATTCCTTATCTAAATACAGTGAATCTTCTTCCGTAAGTCTTGTAGAGATGATAAATCTAGGTAGAGACAATGTGGAGTTTTTATTTTATTTATTTATTTTTTGAACTCTGCATGTTGGGAACTCTGAAGCAAGAGTAATTTAGGAATTTGTTAAAATTTAAGTGAGCTGAGCCCTGGCTGGTGTAGCTCAGTGGATTGAGCGGGGGCCTGTGAACCAAACAACTTCCATTGGATTCCCAGTCAGGGCACATGCCTGGGCTGCAGGCCAGTTCCCAGCAGGGGACCCACCAGAGGCAACCATACACTGATATTTCTCTCCCTCTCTACTTCCCTTCCCCTCTAAAGATAAATAAATAAAATCTTAAGAAAATTATATAAAAAAATTAAGTGAGCTGAATTTGGAGGAAAAGAAATCTTTATTAAATCTACATATAAATAATGTAAAGTATTTAAGATTATTTGCCTTGCTGGTGGGTCTGTTAATGGTTCTGGCGATTGAGTAAGGTGATTTTCATGGGTGTTTTAAAGTATATACTGATGCCCTTAAGAACACTGAAGTAGTCCTGGAAGAGAATACTTGGTTATGAAGAATAGTTATTTGGGAATTATATGTTTTGGTAAATATGTTTTAAATATATTAAAAATTAAGAAACTAAACAAAATCTCCGAAGTTACTTAAATTTTGTTCTTTTCAAGAGTTACATTTTAAGTGGCTTTCTCCTCAGGGCTATCATTAAGAAAGCTTCAGATCTAGAATACAGAATACAGCGAAGAGCTCTTTGTAAGGAAGACTTTATCAATTATGCTCAAGTAAGTGAATAATTTCATTACCTTTTAATCTCACAGATTTTAAATTAATAATTTATTAATTTAAATTAAATTAATAATTAAATTAATAATTAATTAATACTGGCCAGCTTGATGTCAATTTTCAGCAGATTTCTAGAACTGATGATTAGAAAGGTAACTTCCGAACAAAACCCGGTGATTTAGGAATAGCATCACTGCGCTAAGGCTTTATAGTTCTTGACAAACTGAATTTTTTTTTTCTCTTCTTTTGTGGGGATAGTGGGTCAGAGACTGCCAAAGACACATAGTGTCAGGGTTTCAGCAAGGGATTTGACAAACCATCTTGTGTTGGGGGAAGAAAAGAGTGAATTGGATGATAATAGCTGGTTGGAAAGTTAATACTTGTGTGTCTGTAAGTCTGTCAGCTTAGACAGAAGTATGCTGCAAGATTCTTCAGTCCTGTAAATGAGTGGAAGATTTGAGTGAAAATGAAATATACATGCTAGAACTGTTTTCATATGGGAGAGAATAATTTGTATGTTGGATAACAAAATCAGGATTCAGAAAGAACCCTATAGCAAGATGAAATGTTCTAAGACTAGAGGTTCTGAGCTTAAATTAAAAACTAGCAATATGCGAGGCCTGGCTAAGAGTCTTGTGTTTGGGAGAGGTCCTAGGGCTCATAGTAGATCGCTTATTCAAAATGAGCATATTATGTCAACAAAATATAATCTAGTTGATCACATTAACAAAAGTGTAGAGTGTTGGGTGAGTTAGCTGAGCACAGGACATTGCAAACAGGAAGCACTAGGAAAATGCTGGTTTGGAAAAAGGTGTTTTGCACTTATCAGACCATGTCTGGCACACTGTGTTAGGCTCAACACCACGTTTTAAGAAGACTTTGAGAGGTTGCTTGGAAGGCAGCCAGGATGGAAACCTCGTTCTGGGAGGAATTATGGAAGAAAACAGAGGTGTTTAACCTTAAAGATACTTAAGAAGTGGCAAATCATTTCACTCTTCAAGTATTTAAGAGCTAAGAGCTATTAGATTGATTTTAGTTCTCTTTTGCAAGATTTTACTTATTTATTTTTAGAGAGAGGGGAAAGGAAGGAGAAAGAGGAGAGAAACATCAATGTGTGGTTGCCTTTCACACGTATCCCATTGGGGACCTGGCCTGCAACTGAGGGATGTGCCTTGACTGGGAATAGAACTGGTGACTCCCTGGTTCTCAGGCCCACACTCAATCCACTGAGCCACACCAGCCAGGGCTTATTTGTTTAGTTTTAAAAGAGCATAACTGAAATGAGATAAAAATTACAAATAAGCACTCTCCTATACATATTACCCTCCCTCCCCACCAGCACACAACCATATAAATTTGCTATGAGTTGGGAGTGGCATTTTAAAACGAGTTTCTGGTTATCCACCTTAAAAAAAAATAGACTAGGTCCCTTCCTCACATAATACACAAAAATAAATTCCTGCTAGATTGGCAAGCTAAATGTGTGGAGAACCTTTTCAATCTGCAAAAACAATGAAAGAATGACTTCTGGTAGGGAAAGATTTCCAAAATGAGACTGAAAGCATATGCTATGAAGAGAAAAATTATTTGACTGTATTAAAAGTAAAAATTTCTGTGCAGACAAGACACCTTAAATAATGTAAAAAGACAAGCCACAAACTGGGAGAAAATATTTGGAACACATGTAATTAAGATTTAGATTATATAAAGAACTACAAATCAAGAAGAAAATGACAAAAAACTAGGAAGAAAATGAAAAGAACTGGAAAAATATGAACATGAAATTTCCAAAGAGGAAATAATCATTTGTTGATAAGTTTATGAAAAATATTAGCCTCTTTAGTAATCAGGTAAATATAGACTAAAACCAGGGTACAGTACTACTTTGTATCCATCATATTAGCAAGTGCTTTTAAAGACTGATACAGTAAGTATATAATTGCTATAACCACTTTGGACAGCAATTTGGTAATATTCCATAAAGTTGAAAGTAACATCTACTCTGTGATCTAGCAATTTGATTCTTTCAGCCATAGAATAAATATTGAGTACCTGCTCTGTATGTGGCACTGATTCCATCCAGTGCGGGTACAAGAATAAATTAACCAGACAGAAGTTACCACTTTGAGGAGCTTACATATTAGTGGTGAATGTCAGTTTACACCCTGGAAAAATATCTAGATATGTCCACAAGAAGATATGTACAAGAATATTAATTGTAACTTTTTGTAATGGAAAAATTGGAAACAAATATACATCACTAGAAAGGATAGGTAAATTGTACATTGATACAATGAAATACTATATAGCAGTTAAAAGGAATGGACTTCAAATTTCATAAGTCCATAGGAATATATCTAATGTCAGCGCTGAGTAAAAATATATTGTGATGGGTATAGTATGATACCATTTATGTAAAGTTTGAAAGCATTCAAGACAGCATTTTAATAAAGTCCAAAGTCATTGGGAGTGATAAACAGTCAGATCAAGATAGTCATTTCCTCTGTGGAGGGAGCAGAGTGGAATCAGATATGCTACATAGGGGGGCCTTCACTCTTATTTGAATGTCTTCTTTATAAGTAAGATTTGAAGCATATATAGTAAACATAGACTTTGATGTAGCTGTGCAGTAGCTAGCTGCATGGGTGTTTCATGTTCTTGAAATATTTCATAAAAATTTTAAAATGAAGCATGTAATCTTTGAGGTTCTGAGCTTTCAGCCTCTAGTAATCTTTAAGCCAAGGCTTAGCGAGAGATTGTGTGGTAGTGGGTTTTAGAGCGCCTTAGACGCTCTAAGTGGTCTTTGAGAGGTGAGAAGAGAGTGCCAGTTAGGCATCCGGTTTCAGCTGGTACAAACCTATTACATGTTTTATTAGCTTGTGCATCAACCAAACTTTTGAGAAGGTTAATTACTAAAAGTTTAAATACACTGTGAGGGACTAGAAAATTAGACTGATGTTATAAACCTTATGTCTTATGGTTTTAGTAAAATGTTTTCTTTGTAGCTAAGGTGTTTATATGCTTGCTGATATATGTATTTTTGAATTTTGCAACTGCAAGGCAAATTTTCAGTGAATGATAGACATTTGCTGTAGATTATGCTTCTTTATAGCAAGTTATCTTCTGTTTTATGTGCTTTATTTTATGATTTTAACTAAATGTATTTCCTCTACATGTAAAAGGACATGATTTTCCTTGTTTTTCTCTTTTTTTTGTATGGTTTTCTTCCATAGTATGAAATTAACCTTTTGGAGCTGATCCAGAAGAGGAGAGCTGTGAGTAGATGATTTTCTGGGAGTTATATAGAATGAAATAGCGTGGCTGTATGGCTAGAACTTGGGTGTGGGAAGCAGGTGGCATTGGTAAATTGCATGCTGGTGTACTCATAATGGATATTTGTAATTATTTGTTTCTTTGTTAATACTGTTTAATGATCAAGTAGGAATGCTGCTTTGGATAAATGTGATTAAGCTGAGGCTTTGTTTCTGATGTTCCTTTTTAGCGCATTGGGTACTCATTTAAGAAGGAGGAGATTGAGAGTTCCATCATCCACCGGGTGCAAGGCATCTTCCGACGCGCTTCAGCAAAGTGGAAAGTGAGTGGCCAGTGCTTCCTTAACTGTAAAAGATGTGAAGATATGTGTTATACCTATTATGACTTGGATATTCAAATGTATTGTATATTCTTAAGTGTCTCGATTCTTGTTCTAATGATGGTATCATTACTTGAAACCACTTATCAAACTATTAAGAAAATTGATCTTATTATCTTATAGTTGTTCTGTGAGGATGGTGCTGAAAACAGTGGATTTGATACATAATTAAGGATCAGAAAACTGTCTGGGATTCATTTGTGTATATCTCTGAAGTATACCAAGGACTTGACTGTGGAAGATAAATGGTTAGAGTAGGGGCAGTACCTCAGTAACTTGATTTTCTTCACATTGGGCTCTGGGACTGGGACATATTATATGGGAAGTACTTTGGATTCCTGGGAGTGACAAATTTTGGGTTGTTGTCCTTGATTGAGGCCATGTAAAAACTACATTGAACAAACTGGATATTTGACAGATTTTGTGGTGGAGCATGGTTAGGTAGGAGTAGGGAACAGACTGAGTGAATCTCTTAACTGAGTTAAGAGATTTAGATTTAAGGCCTAATAGGCTGAGGGGCATTGTAACACAGTAGGTTTTCTGAAATCTGCTTCTGTTTCAAAGGTGTATTAGGTATAAAGTTCAAACTCAGAGAGCTTACTACATTTTTTTCTTGCAGGATGATGTTCAACTTTGGCTATCCTATGTGGTCTTTTGTAAGAAGTGGGTGAGTATTTGGGCAGCTATGTCTTACCCCTTCTTTCCTTCCTTTGGTTAGTTGGCCTTTGAAGCCCCGTGCTTCATTGCTGAATTCCGTGTTTTCTGCAAAGGTTTAGGGTTAACAAATGGAGAAAGAACCCAAGGAGGCTGACCGTCAGAGGAACGACATTTCACATCCGAATGACTCGGGGGCTTCACTTCAGTTGAAAAGAAAAGATCTTTATGTGTATTTTGTTCATTAAAGTTGAAAACTTTTTTGATATTTAGAATGTTTTATGTAGTGAGGTTTAGGTAGAAGAAAACTCTGAAGGTCTGTATTTGTTTATATGTCCCTGGCAGTAGCAGATCTTGCCCCATTGGATTTTAGCGTTGGAAATGGTACAGGAAAGATCACTTAGAAGGAGAAGTAGTAACAGTGATTTTGCTGTGTAGGAAGTATAATTTTTCTTCCTCTTTTCAGGCTACCAAACCTCAACTTAGCAAGGTGTTCTCTGCCATGTTGGCCATTCATTCAAACAAGCCAGGTATGGTAAAATCCTTGTCAGTTCTTTTTCTACCTTTTATGTAGACTCACACTGCTTTGGAATTTATTTTGCCTGATAAACCTAAAAACTTATTTTGTGAACCTGAGCTTAGGCACTTGGCCTCAGCAGATCTGGTTCCTGAATAGCTGCCCCTTGGTCATCCCTGCCCACGGAGCACTAGTTACTGTGTCAGGGACTACATCTATGGGCAAGTGGAACTGTGTTCCTTTTTTACTTAATGGTAAAAGAAACTCTTTGGTCCTTGGGAGGACATTCTGTGTGAAGGCAGTCATTTTTAAGAGATTTCAGACACTTACAGGGACAGGGGGAAAGATTACTATGGATTTTACAAGAGTGCCTGGCCCAGAGCAGGCGCTCATGTTTCGTAGGAGAAAGACTTCTCTTGTGTGTGCTGTGTGCATGGCGCCTGACTTGACAGTGGAGGTGCTCCAGCACCTTTTCTCAAGTATGAGCCTCAGCCAGACATTTTACAAGACACAAGATTCATAGGCTACATTTGGCCCCAGTTTATTCAGAAGAATACAGCAGGACAGCTTTTGGTGCATTTCTTCAGTAGAATACTCTTAGCAGTTTGGAGGCTGGTAACAGTTCAGGTGTGAGGGAAATAGTGAGTAGAGGAGCCACTCTGCTCAGAAGATAGGCATAGCGTCCAGGGGTCCCAGGAAGGACCGTGCTCAATTTCAGGAATCACGTGCCCAAGAAAGCCCAAAGCGGTAGCTCTCTGCCATTTATAGTCCTCCTAGTCCAGACGTGGTTTCCAATCAATAGTCATTTTACCAAAAAAAAATCTTGCCTGGTAACATAGCTCATCTTCATTGAGTCTAGGGAGATGGTTATAATGCTAACTCAAGGTTAATCTCTAATGTAGAAGGACAAAAGTTTGTTTTTTTTTTAAGTTTTTATTTCCAGAGGGCATGATAAAAATTTACTTTTAAAATTATGAGCCATTGAAAAAATTCTGAACTGCTTTCAATATAGAGAAAAGAACAAAATAATTTTATTTCCTTGATTCTAAGATGCACAATTTTTCCGCCATTTTAACACTTAAAATTTGCATGTGACTTAAATGCTGTTGACCTTTAGATCTGATGAAACAGGAAGAGGCACGTAAGTCCTCTCAGATGTTAACATTTACGTATTTCCTTTAGGATACTCTGTAATTTTAGATAAAGTAACAGTACTTTACAGATAACTATCATGAACTCCTCCCCATTTCCTCCCCCTTTTGATAGGATTAAGAAATTCTTTTAAGTAGTAAAATTGGAACATTAGTCTTTTTTTTTTGCCAGAGTTAATTAATTTATTAAGACGCAGTCTGATGTTTTTCATTTATAGCTTTGTGGATTATGGCAGCCAAGTGGGAGATGGAAGATCGCTTGTCTTCAGAAAGTGCAAGACAACTCTTTCTTCGAGCTCTGCGCTTTCACCCGCAGTGTCCAAAGCTGTATCAGGAAGTAAGTGTATAGTGTATGTATATAACACGCCAGAGCAATCTCTCAGTTTGGTCCTTTGGAGACACATATTCTTTAAGTGAAGAAAGGCTTCACATGATGGAGGCCAGGAATTAGCAGGGAGCTGCTGTGGCAAGGGCGCCAGGAAGGTATTTTTTGGCCAGGAGTAGGTTTTCACCATGCGCATCTTCCAGGTTCTTCGTGAGAGATTAAAACTCGTACCTGACCATTATGGTTGGGAGGCATGGGGAACTGGGCCTTTCCTTTTTTAAATTGGAGGGCCAGGGCGCAGCCATCCTTATACCTTTGTTCTTATTACCGCCCCCCCTTCCTTCCCTCCTTCCTTCCAACCATTAGAACCCCCCTTTTAGCTTCTCTTCCCCTTGTTCCCCCATTTTCTTCTCTATCTCTTGAGATAGAAACTTCCTTCCCCTTTTGGTAGACTCATTTCTCCTTGGAGGGGTACACTAGGATATTTATGGCCATACTTTTGCTGAAAGAAAACCAAACAGATGCTGGAAATGCACCCTTTTCTGAGTTATTTGTCAGGATGAGGGAGAAATTGCCAGTCTTCAAATAGCAATTCAGCCTGTGTGCTGAGGGGGAAAAGGTGCGGGTTTTCGTGCTCATTGGTATCGTAGCTGTCCCACCCGTGTTTTGGGGCTTGTAGTAATTTAATGATGTTTTATGTTGTTGTCTTGCATCCCTTTGTTTTTTCATATGCTGTTAGACGTTCCTTTGGTGCCTTTACTATTCTCATGGAGAAACCGTTGTGAGACTCCATCCTACTGCTGTTAGAGGGTGGTTGAATGCTGTTACTATTTTGCATTTTTTGGGCGGCTTTCATAAATGCTCATATTTGTATTTTCCAAAATGGTAATAGATTTATTGCTTATTCATATCCAAACAAATTAGAATTTGTTTACTATTAGTTAAGAAGAACAGTTCTATGAAAAAGTAACAGAAACTGTACTGATATCACCCTGTCACAGATATTTAAAACAGATTTTATTTCTGAAAAGGGAGATTCTATTACAGATTATTGTGTTCTGTATTCTTACCTAATATACCATGAATATAGGTCCATGTTTGTACATACTGATCTATATTGGTGGTGGTCAAACTTTTTGGTCCTCTTTCTATCTTAAATTAGTAAGGACCCCAAAGGTCTTCTCTTTATATGTATTTTATCTACCAGATTCTATTTTATTGAACACTAAAACCAAGATATCTAAAAATATTGATTTAAAAACACACGATACGTTAATATAAAGTAGTTACATTTAAATGAAAATAGCTCTTCTAAAACAAAGTTTAAAAAGAAGAATGGCATTATTACACATTTTTGTTAATCCTTTGAATATCTGACTTAATAGAGGACAGTGGATTATTGATCTCCTTTTGTTAAAATTATTATTTATTGATTTGAGAGAGATATTGATTTTTTTATTCCCCTTATTCATGTGTTCATTGGTTCTTCTTGTATGTGCTCTGACCAGAGATCAAACCTACAATCTTGGCGTATCAGGACAGTATTCTAACCAACCTTGCTACTTGGCCAGGGCCTCAGATCTCTTTTTGCATTCAGTGTGGGTAATAGGACCCATTATATAGCCTCTGAAAAACTTAAAACTCTTTTTTTCTTTTAGTTTACGGGATTTCGGCCATTTTATTTTATTTTTATTTTTAAAATTATTTATTTATTTATCCTTAGAAGGGAAGGGATAGAGAGAGGGAGAGAAATATCAATTTTGCCTCTCATGTGTCCCCTGCTGGGAACTGGCCCCTGCTAGGAACTGGCCTGCAACCCAGGCATTTGCCCTGACTGGGAATCGAACCACAATCTTTTGGTTCGCAGGCCCGTTCTCAATCCACTGAGCTATACCAGCCAGGGCAAAACTTGAAACTCTTAATAGAATAAGAGCAAAGGCAAGTAACATGTTAGTATTATTATGAAAATAATTTTGGCCTTGCAGACCAGACCCCCTGAGGGGTTTAAAGGACCCCTCGGTAGTCTGAAGTCACATTTTGAGAAACTCTGATGAATATTATCTGTTCTAAAAGTCACAACAATACGGTGTGCTTTTTTTCTGTGCAGAATTTTTCACATAGTGGTAATGGTGTTGTAGGTAAAATTTTTTTTTCTTTTTAAAGATTTTTTAAATTTAATTATTCTTCAACTACAGTATTCCGCCTTTTACTCCCATCCCAGCCCACCTCCCTTGTAGGTAAAATTTTGTAGCCAGCTTTTTTGTTTTTAGTCCCCACCCAAGGACATGCTTATTGATTTTTAGAGAGAGGGGAAGGAAGGAAGAGAGGGAGAGAAACGTGGGTGAGAGGGAGGTGCCTGGGTCAGGTGCCTCTCATACGTGCCCCAGCTAAGGACTGAACCCACAATGTAGATAGGTGCCCCCACCGGGAATCAAACCTCTGAGGCTTCGGTTCGTGGGACGATGCTCCAACCAACTGAGCCATACCAGCCAGGGCTAACTGTTTTTAAAAATCTTGTCATTTAATATGTCTTGCAATGTAGAATTCAAAATATTAAAAATTTTGGATAAGTCAACTTTATAGTACATGTTAATTGTGCATTATTTTTCTCTTTATATACCTGATATTACATATTTACCATTGATTTTTACTTCAGAATAATTATAGATTCCTAGGAAGCTATGAAGTAATATAGTGAGGTCCTGCGTATCATGTACGCAGTTTTCCCTGATAGTTACGTTTTATAAAATTACAGTATAATATCAAAGCCAGGACATTAACATTGCTACAGTGTGCGCACAGTTCTGTTTTTTCCCCACGTGCGTGCGTGGGTTTATGTAGCCACTGCAGTCAAAATACAGAACTTTTCCACGATCATAGAGACCTGCCCTCTTGTCATGGTCAGCTAGTTTCGTAATAAATACACCACTCTCCCCAAATTTTTTCACATCTAGTAATCATGGGTAAAAAAAAAAAAAAAGGCATCTTATGTGTTTCTAACTTAAAAAAATTCTCTCCCAAGCTCCTCAGTTCATGTTTTCCCTTCTGTAGTACTTCAGGATGGAGCTGATGCATGCTGAGAAATTGAGGAAGGAAAAGCAAGAATTTGAAAAAGCCAAAATGGATGTGGTAAGATCCTAATGTACTGTCACTTGTGTTTTGAACCTGCTTAAGAGTAAGAGAAAGTCTTTGGAATGTGTTTTTCTTTCTAATTTAATGCCATATTTTGAGACTTAACGATGAGTCTAGATATGACTTCATAAAATGGGCTTAGAAATAAAAATGGAATTTTGTGCTTTAAAAATAGACATTGGACTAATGGGAGTGGTCCTCAAAATTATTACTGATGGAATGGCCAAGTGCTACTCTTTAATACTTTATGATTTCATGGGGTGGTGTATTAATGGGTTGAAGGTGCTCAAGAAAGGTGGTGAACTGTGTGGTTTCTAGCCTCCTATATAATGTAATTTTTCATGTGACAATAATTTTTTAAAAGTTTTAGAATGTTAGTACAGAAAAAGGAACTTGGCTATTATCTGTTACTGTGGCTCCCAGCTCTGAAACTTTTTATATAAATAAAGCCATGCACAGCAGGGTCCACAGGGCATGTGAAAGTCGGGCTATTCTGGTCTGAATGGAGAGTGAGACCTTAAGCGGAGTGATCCTGCCACCACTCCAGGAACCTGAGAGAACAGAGTTCCAGGATCAGTGGTTGCGTTCAGCCACTCACTTTGCAAGTGAGGAAACTGGCCCCGAGAGAGACGTGATTGCCAGAGGTCCTGTGGCAGGGTAGGCTAGGACTGTCCCTTTCTATCCTGGTGCTTTTTCTACTTGCACTGCTTGCTAAGTTCTGTCCAATACGGCACTCTCTAGGAACATCTTGATTATCCTGAAGAAATCCTTACGGGCGAGTTGGCACGGATCATCTACAAAAATTCTGTAAGCATAATTAAAGGTAGGTATCTTTTGAAAATTTATTCATGGTGGGAAAGCCAGACAATCTATTATGATGAGGAAGACCTTTAGCTAATTATGAAAATTTCTGTTAGAAATTAGGTTAGAATGTGTATAAAACTTCGATTGTAGGAATGAGGCCCTGTTTCTGTCAGAAGGCTTATTGCCCCTTAGGGTATACTTGAACATCGCAGTAAGTTTTTACTTAGTACTTAGTTCGTATGGAGAGTTGAAAAGAAGTACATGATTTAATACATTCCTTTATGCCCTTAGGTTTAGAATAAAAGCTACAAGTACTTATGAATACTCCAAAATATTAGTAATGGCTTCGTTGGTGTAATGGCACTATGGGTGATGTTTTTGTCCTTTGTCCTATTTCTCAACCAAAAACAAACTACAGTACATCAAGAAGGTGGTACTTTCAGTAAAGTTATACCTCAGAGCATAGATGGCAAACACAAGGCCCATGGGCCTCTACCTCGTTTTATCTGGCTTGGCACCTTGTTTCTACCCAGTGGCAGCGCTGAGCTCCTTGCCCCTAGGTAAGGAGTTAGTTACCTTTATACAGCCCTAAAATTACATTGGGCCCTTTGAAGGCAACCGCAAGGCTGATGTGGCACCTGGTGAAAATGAGTTTGAAGATCTGCTCCTGTACCAATATGCCAAGGATATGGAGAAAGCAAGCCAGGAATTTCAGCCACAGTGGAGATATAGGTAGAAATGCTTTACTCCCTTGGACAACCAAAAGAAGGACAACAACAAATTTAAAGACAAAATATAACTAAAACTGCCAGATACTCAAACTTCATGGAAGTCTGACCACCAAGGAGTTAAACATTCATCCAGACTGGTGATGTGCAGAGATGGGCAGCTGAGGCGGAGAGGATGCATAACCAAGGAGGTGCCTGGTGGACCAGTTGGTTCCCCATTTGTGGGCTGATAAGCTGGAAAGAACCATTGTGAATTGAGACAGAGCGCAGAACCCAGGGTTTCATCGTGGGAAACTACAGACTCCGAACCTCTGGATGTAAAAATCTGCGGGAGTTGTGGCAGTGGGAGAAACTCGGGATCACAGGACAGTTTGTGGGAGAGGCCCGCAGCGTCCTGGAACGTACACAGACCCACCCACGTGCGAATCAGCACCTGACAGGCCACAGTCTGCTCGTGGGAAGTGAGGGAAACGATGGAAAGTGGGGCCAGAGCAGAGCCAGCAGTGGCGTCGTTTCCCCTCCAACCCCTCCCCACAGACAGCGCCACAGCCCAGCAAAGAGGGCTGCCCCACCCTGGTGAATGCCTACGGCTCCACCCCTTACAGCATAACAGAGGTGCCAAGACAAAGAGGTATGGCCCAAATGAGAGAACAGGTCAAAATTCGAGAAGAACTAAGTGACAAGGAGATAGACAACCTATCAGATGCACAGTTCAAAACACTGGTGATCAGGATGCTCACAGAACTGGTTGAGTATGGTCACAAAATGAAGGAAGAAATGAAGGTTATACGAAGTGAAATAAAGGAAAATATACAGGGGAACAAAAGTGAAGGGAAGAAAACTGGGACTCAAAACAAGGATTTCAAACAAAACGAAGAAGTAAACATCCAACTGGAACAGAATGAAGAAACAAGAATTCAAACAAATGAGAGGCTGAGAAAGCTCTGGGACAACTTTAAATGCTCCAACATCCAAATCCTAAGGGTGCCAGAAGGAGAAGAGGAAGAGCAAGAAAGTGAAAACTTATTTGAACAAATAATAAAGAAAAACTTCCCCAATCTGGTGAAGGAAATAAGCTACCAGGAAGTCCAGGAAGCCCAGAGAGTTCCAAAAAAATTGGACCCAAGGAGGAACACACCATAATTAAGACACAAAACTAAGACATATCATAAATTGCCCAGGATTAAATATAAGGAGAGAATCTTAAAAGCAGCAAAAGAAAAGGAGACAACCTACAAAGGAGATCCCATAACACTATCAGCTGATTTCTCAAAAGAAACCTTACAGGCAAGAAGGGGCTGGAAAGAGGTATTCCAAGTCATGAAATCCAAAGACCTACATCCAAGATTGCTCTATCCAGCAAAGCTTTCATTTAGAATGGAAGGGCAGATAAAGTGCTTCTCAGATAAGGTCAAGTTAAAGAAGTTATCATCACCAAGCCCTTATTATATGAAATGTTAAAGGGACTTATCTAAGAAAAAGAAGATAAAAAATATGAACAGTAAAATGACAACAAACTCACAACTATCAACAACTGAACCTAAGAAACAAAAACAAAAACTAAGCAAACAACTAGAACAGGAATAGAATCACAGAAATGGAGTCACATGGAGGATTATCAGTGGGGAGGGGGTGAATGAGGGGAAAAGGTTCAGGGAATAAGAAGCATAATAAGCACAAAATAGACAGGGGGAGATTAAAAATAGTATAGGAAATGGAGAAGCCAAAGAACTTACATATACAACCAGTGGACATGAACTAGGTGGTAGGGGGCAATGCTGGAGGGTGGTGGGGTGCAGGGAGGAGGGGGATAAAGGAGATAACAAAATTGGGGGAAAAAAGAAAAAAATGAGTTCGACACCCCTGCTTTAGAGACTTTCCTACCCTCCCTTTAAAATTTTAGGTGCAGAGTTTCATGTGTCACTGCTTTCAATTGCACAGCTATTTGACTTTGCCAAAGACCTGCAAAGAGAAATTTATGAAGAGTAAGTAAAATAGTGGAAGGCGAATGTGGTTGTTTCTTGCTTGTGGTAAAGGTTTGAGGTTGGATATTTAGAAAGTGGGACAGAAGATACACTAAATCCTTGGAGGAAAGCTAAGTTTTAGGACCATTGTATCATAAATTTTATTAAAAAATATATTCTTGGAAAAGTTGACTCATTACTGGCTTTCCTTGGAAAATAGTTAGTACATCCTATAGCTTTTATAAAAATCTATATTTCTGCTTTGTTGGCATGTCTTTTGTCCATAAAATAAGAGTGGTACTTATGAGCGTTTGAGTGCTGCAGGTGATTTTGTACTTTAATGTCTGATTACACAGTGTGACAATTAGTTGCAGCCTAGCTGTGGGTCTTCACTCTTAGGTAGTACCCCTTACTTTCACAGGAGATAACATAGAACTTGGGTCATGACATCTTCAGGGAGTTGGTAGAGGATTAGGTGGTTGCTTTTTCTCTGCCGTTAGTATAGAAATGCAGAGCCCGGCCCTAACAAGGTTCTCCAGGGCTCAAGGAGGATTGTCTTGTCACACCTCCCTGCTGATTTGACTTGAGAGTTAATAGTCGTGAATGATTCCTGAAACATTCTGAAACCTAATAGATGTGTGACAGCTCTGATCCACAGACAGAATATATACAGTGTGTGTGATGATAACTGAAGAGCCTATTTACGGTAATGGAGTTGTTAAAGGGGGTCCTGGGTACATGTTTAGAGCCCAGGGAACTGTCTCTCTGTCTGGTACCCTGATTTAGTCTCACATCATAGGAGTCATGCCAGTGAACTCTGTTTTTCAGCCTTCAGGCTATGCACACAGATGACCCCCTTACTTGGGATTATGTGGCACGGCGAGAATTGGAGATTGAGTCGCAGCCAGGGGGAGAGCCGCCTGTGACTAAACAAGCCAAAGCAGAGGAGGTGGGCCGGAGGGAGGAGCGGTGCTGTGCTGTGTACGAAGAGGCGGTAACGGCTCTCCCTACAGGTAAAGCATGGTGTGGGGTAGAATAATAGTGCTCATGAATGTGAAACTGAGGCTCCCGTTCCCATGACCGAAACAGATTTCAGGACCTCTGGTAGTTTACAGAGCGCCTGTCTGGCTTTCCAGCTTGCTCTTTCTCTCGTGGTGAAAGATGGACCTTTTATGACCTTCCTTGACAGTAGTGGATATATGGGTTCATTTGTGGGGAATGATACCATATTTTGCTGTGTCTAATGTCCACTTTTTGCCCACATTTTTGAGGGAAAAGTAAGGATGTGCATTATTATATGTGGCTAGTGCTAATTCCGTATCTATATAAATACTTTAAATTCTTTTATTTATGCTTATGCGTTAAAAGTGTGAGTCTAGAAAGCAATAACAGTATCTGTATGTTCAAAAATAAATGCTAAAGTTCCCTTGAATAACCGAATTAAAAAAATTAAAATGAAAGATTCTTTTCCTGAAAGTTTGGGTCAAAAATGTGGGTGTTTATTAATTATACATGAGAGTGCATTATAAATGGAAAATTATGGTACTTAGGAACATTGTTTAATTGTAATTTCTTATATACCTTTTGATTATAGATTTATTTTCTAACTTTGTAATATTGGAGTGTTGAGGTAGATGGGATATATAACATGGATAGGCTCTTAATTTTTATATTTATGTCATTACTCCATTGTTTTATCCCCAGTATTTGAGATGGTTTATTGGCTGTAATCAGAATAACATTTTTATTTTTTTACCAGATTAGTTTAATCTCTTCTTCAGAGGAGTTTTCCCTTCAGAGACAAGATGTAGGATGATGGTTAAACTAAAAGAGTCGGTGGTCTGATCGGTGTAATCTTTCTGACTTTTTCAGAGGCCATGTGGAAGTGTTACCTCAGCTTTTGCTTGGAAAGGTTTGCGAAGAAGACAAATAGTCAGTCCCTCAGAAGGAAGGTAAGGACATGGGTGTAGTGGCTGACCAGAGAATGACTGTCTTGTGAAAGAAGAAGGACAGACTTTTGGGGCTTGGTTCAGCTTCGAAGAACTTTATGCTCAGTTCCTCTTTCTCCTTGAGTGACCTGTCATCCTGGAGGTCTGAGTCTGCTTTGCCCTGGCACTGGCCACCAGGTCGCGCTTACTGGCCCGTGCTTGGAGCAGCTGTCCCACTCACCCGATCACCAGTGGAACTGCCTCGGCCCCTTCTCTCGGTCCTCAGGAAGGTGCAGAACTGCACTGGTTCCTGTCAGAGGCCAAAGACCTCTTCTGGGGTCTTTGTAATGACCTGAGGCATTTTTCTGATTTCAGAGGCTGGAAAGAACCACGACTGCGTTCAGGAAGGCGCATGAACTTAAACTTCTCCCAGAATTTCTATATAAGCAGTGGGTAAGGACATGAACACTTTCACTGTCAATTACATGAACTTAATTCCAGTTGGTCCATCCTGGTGGCATGTGTTTCTATATATCTGTACAGTTATGACTAAGGCCGTTTGGAAGTTTGGTGTGATAGCTGTAGAAAGTACTGACATTTGGCTGTCAGTAGTATTTGATATCTGTCCGAAATGAAATCTGTACCACTAAAGGGAAGAATGTTATATAGCGGAAACACTCAGACCAAGGAGGCACTATTTGGCTTTATTTTGTTTGTCCACCCTTCCATCTTTTATTGGACATCCCTTTCCTGAGCTATAGATCTATAGGCCTGGCCCAGCCCTGGCTGGTGTGGCTCAGTGATTGAGCACTGGCCTGTGAACCAAAGGGTTACTGGTTCGATTCCCAGTCAGGGCACATGCATGGGTTGTTGGCCAAGTCCCCAGTAGAGGGCGTGGAAGAGGCAACCACAGGTTGATGTTTCTCTTTCTCTTTTTCCTTCCTTCTCCTCTCTAAAAAATAAATAAATAAAATCTTAAAAAAAAAATGCCTGGCCCAGATTAACCATTGGTACAGTAAAAACTCGTTTGATGTGTTCCCTGTGTTTCAGAAGCTGACATTCTAGTAAGAGGCATATTAACCCAACCCTACCCTGGTGTGGGGAAGGATTGTTATAGAGACCAGAGGAATGTCCTGTGGGATACATAGTTCTAGGTTGGGTTTTGCCACTTAAGAGCTAGGTGACTTGGTTAAATCACTTACTTTGCTGAGTTTGTTTACTTGATTTTAAAATAGTGGTAGTGAGCCTTGTTTTTGCCATGTCACAGAGTTTTTCAGAGCATAACCTGGGATAATGAATGTGTTAGTGTATTTAAATACCTTTGTAGGGCAAAAAAGGGGAAAATCTTTTTTTTTAAGATTTTATTTATTTAGTTGCAGAGAAAGGAGAAGAAAGGGAGAAAGGGAGGGAGAGAAACATTGATGTGCGAGAGATACATCGATGGGTTGCCTCTTGCACACCCCACACTGGAGACCTGGCCTGCAATCCGGGCAGATGCCCTGACTTGGAATCAAACTGGCGACCTTTGGGGTCACAGGCCAGCACTCAATCTACTGCGCCACAGCAGCCAGGGCCAGGACAAAAATCTTTGTATTTGTCTAGTGCCTCTAACTTGTTTAACTCCTGATTCATATCAGCATGCAATTTTTATATAATTACAATGAATCTTTTGCCATTTTGTATTCTATTTTACATTAACATTTAAAAATATTTTTTAGCCTGGAACAATGTGGCTCACTTGGCTGGGCATCATTCTGTAAAGCAAAAGGTTGCTGATTCGTTTCCTGGTCAGGGCATATGTCTGGGTTGTGGGTTTAGTCCCTGGTCAGGCACATCTGAGAAGCAACTGAGTGATGTTTCTCTCATATCAACGTTACTCTCCCTCTCTTTCTCCCTCCCTTCCTTTCTCTCTACAAATAAAATCTTAAAAAAAAACTAAAATATTTCTTACATATGCTTATATAATGCATATCCTGTAGACTAGCCTGTTCTATGACACCACTCCTGAGGCACCCTCCTTCCGCTGTGGCATCTGTCTGGCAAAAATCCCAGACCCGGGTGAGTTCAGCGGCCCCCGTTGGAGTTACAGAGTGCTGGCAGGACAGTCACACCCTGTATATCCGGATGCGCTTTGCTTTAGTATTGTCCTGGCAGTCATGCTCTCTGTCCATTATGGCTTACTTTGCCTTTCAGCACTCTGGCTAGTTCAACCATCCTCTGCTCTCCAAATCTCTCACGTTGCCCTTCCGAACCCTACCGTCTAATCACTAATTTGGTGACCTTGCCTTTAATGATAGTCTGTCAACTGCTGCCACTGAGCTTAATAAGCTTTGCTGATTTTTACGTTCATCCTTTCTCCATATTGTCACAGAGTGATCTTTTAAAATTGAGTATCAGATTATTCTGTTGTTTTTCACTGTCCTTCAGACCAAGCTGCCCAGTCTCATTCATTTGGCCCCTGCCTGTATTTCCAGCCTCATGTACCAGGTTCTCCAGTTTACATTCTACCCCTCTAGCCATTCTGACCTTGGATTTCCTTTTGTATCCAGGCTGTCTGTCATCCTCAGCCTCTTGCACGGGCAGGTTAGGTTCTCTGCTTCACCTGACTAATGCCTGCTCTTTCTTAAGTCTGAATGGTGCTTCCTTTTTTGGAGTCCTTTCTCATCACTGCCGTAGACCTTGTTGGGTGCTCTTGCTTTGTACTCCGGCAGCATATGATGCCTTTTCTGTCACGCCAGATGTCAGACTGCTGGAGGCTCTGTGGGTGGTAGAGGATGTACCTGATGTTCTCATCATTGAATTAACATAGTGTGCAGTAAAAATGCTTGTTGAATGAATGGATTATACACTGTATTTATTTGATGTTTCACAAATTTATAATTGGGATTAGGTTTTTTTCCTATTAAAATACTGTGGATACAAGCATTTTGAACAGATAAGATTATCTTCTGTTCATGTACTTGTTGGGTCATATTTGTTAAAATATCCCCAAGTGTAAGTTACGAATACTTCACTGACTCTTGTTACATAATGTCATTATATTTCAGAGAAATCTTACCCGTTTGTAGCATGCCACCTCTGTTTGAATGAATAAACTTTGTTTTCTTACCATCCCACAAATACTGGTTTTATCTTTACTGATTTATATATTCTGTTTAGTGGGTATGGGTCCTATTATGCTGTAGGAAGCTATTTTATTAAAAACTTAACTTCCACCGTAAATTATTTAGGCCCTCTACTTTTTACCTCTTCCCTATTTTTTGTTACCCTTTGGAAGCAGGAGCAGGGAATGGCGGAGGATTCCAAATTGGTCACTTTGTGCATGCTTGACAGCCATGGAGAAAGGCTGTCGAAATTACTGCCTCATTTGTCCCCCATTACGTAGATAAATGTAGCTTTCAGTAGTTAATTTCCCAGCGATCCCATGTCTTACCTAGACTGAGCTGTTGCTGCATCAAGACTTCCTCCAGGAGGCCCTGCAGGTGGCAGTAGCCGGGACTGAACTGTTCAGAGACTCTGTGACAATGTGGCAGGTGAAACTGCAGGTGCTGGTTAAAGCAAAGAGCCCGGATATAGCCATGCTTTTTGAAGAAGCCTTCGGGTGCCTCAAACCCCAGGTCCGTGAGTTGGGTCTTTCATGTTTCATTCTACTTGGGAAAGCTTTTAAGGCTTCAGCCAAAGCGTATTTGGAGTGTACTTGTCTGATGAGAGCTGACCCTAGAGTGCATTTGCACTGATGATTAAGGGTCAAGAGTAGAAGAATTTACTTCCATTTAATGGCCTATTTCTAGCTCTTTATTTGAAAATTGACTAAATTATGTAAAATTTTATATTCCATCTAGATAGCTTACAAATGAGAAATACTAATAGAATATTTTCACTTGCTTCCATAGCTGAACTTAAGCCTGATTTTTAAACACATATGTATTCCTGAACTTTAAAGTTAAAAAGACTAAACCCTAAAGCTTTGCAGTGAATCTTATATTAGTTTGAAAAAAAGTATTCCAGAAGTTAAAAGTGGGAAAAAAAATCTTAGTTATTTTACTGCTAATTTGTGTGTGCCTTGGAGACAGACAGGAGTGAAGATCAGATAGTTCCACCTGGATAGTGTCGTGGGTCCTAAACAGCAGAGTCGTTAGCGGGGTAGCTAAGGGTTGTTAATGGCTTAGTTAACTAACACGTAAGTGATGATAATAACTGTAGGCAGCATTGCCCAACATAAGGGAGCTAGAATTAGCAGGACTTGGTCAGAAGGCTGTGTTCTGGTGCGTCGTTGCTGTTGGGCACCGAGGATTCTGTCACAGTGGGGACAGACCATGGATGATCTGTATCTTATGCATTGATAAGACGCATAAGATACATCTTAGGAGGAACTCACCTTAGGAGGAACCTGTCTTTCTAGTGGCTAGTTTTCAGAGTGTAAGTGCTACGTTGTCATTTTCCAACTATTCTTTTTGGGAGCAGGTCTGTCTGCCGTTGTGGATCTCTTGGGCAGAGTGGAGTGAAGGTGCCAAAAGCCAGGAAGACACTGAAGCCATCTATAAGGTATAGGCGCAATGTTCTGAGTCTCGTAGTGTGTGGGGATGGGCAGGCAGGTCTGCTGGCTTTAGGCTGACTTGGGTAGCATCTGTCCCTAATGCACTAGTAATTGAGCAGCTTGGGGTGATTCTGGGAACATTTGTTCTGATATTTATAAATTTCCTCACACTCCTTGTGCATTTTTTCTTTTAAATTGTAGAAAGCTCTCTTAGCTGTTAAGGGTGCTGACTCCGTCACTCTGAAGGATAAGTACCTGGATTGGGCTTACCGAAGTGGTGGCTACAAAAAGGCCAGAGCTGTGTTTAAAAGGTACCCACGTATGTTCATAACTGTTACCAGTCTGTCCACTCTGTACTCCGCTCCTCATACCCCTCATACCCAGCTTATACGTGTCACCAGTGGTATCTGAGGAAGTAATCCAAGATATTTTTTCAGGAAATTTTCTTTTCTTTTTTGGACCAGTAAAAGCAGTTCATACCTATTGTGGAAATTTTTAAAAAAAGAGATGACTAATAATTCATTGTAATCCTATCATTGAGGAAAAACCATGTTGATATGTGAGATTATACTGCAATCACATTTTCTTTATCAATTCTGTTGGTGAACATTAAGACTGGCCTTTTCCCTACCAGTAATAATTCTTCATAAGCATCATTTATTGAAATTGCTGTATGATATACTTCGCTTTAGATATCTCATAACTTATGTGGCGCAGTAATACTGCTTTGATGAACATTTCTGCACAAGTACTCATCCATATTGGAAATTATTTCCCTAGAATATTTTCTTAGAAGTAGAATTATTGGTCTCCTTCAAAAGACCTTGAGATGTAGTTGAAGAGGGAAAACTTAGGATTCTGAAAGTGAGAAAGAACAGGAAGAAAACCAGATAGGAAAGACTTTGGGTGGTGAAGAATGTCCTTGGAGACTGAAAGCACTGAGAGTGACTGGTGGTCAAGGCCAGTCCTTGTGTTGAATTGTGGGCAAGCCTTAATCCATGTTTTGGGGAGGCACTGGCATAGGCATTTATGTTCATGGGATGCCAGAAGCTTTCTGTCACAGTGGAAGATAACAGTTGCCCCCTCCTTTTTTAGTTTACAGGAAAGCCGTCCATTTTCAGTTGATTTTTTCAGGAAAATGATCCAATTTGAAAAGGAGCAAGTAAGTGTTCTGTCTATGCATTTCTTGTCTGTGAAAAAGGATTGGTGGTTACTAATTTGTGGCAGCATTTTGCTGTTTAAAAAGCTCTCATAATAGAATATAAATTTTTAATCCCTTTGTCTAGTTCCTTTTTTTATGGAGATGGTTTAGGAGTAATCTCTACTTGGTAATCAAGCAGAGAAAAGAAAGTGCCTGTCTGGAAAACAGAAAACTTGGATGTCACCTCTTATAGGAAGCCCGCCCTGCCTGGCCGGGTGAGGCACTGCCTCCTTCCTGCCTCCACAGCATCCTGCCTGTTTCTTTGGTTGGGTTGTGAGGTAAAGGGGAGGCGCTCAGTAACTGGCTTCTGTAACAGAACATGCGAGTGAGGAAAAATACATGAAATCCAATTGTATTTGTAATCGCATCATACGCACTACCAGCTGTGTTTGTTTTTACTTTTATTGTTTTCTTTTAATTTTTTGTTTACTTTTATACTGTTTTATTTCCAACTTCTGTGCTGTATATGGAGGTTCTCTCTTTCTCTTTTAACATTTTGTTGTAAACAAATTTTTGTGTTTTCACATGGTTATACTTTTTAAAAATTTTATCTATTTCTTGACAGAAGGGGAGGGAATGAGAAAGAGCAAGGGAAACATCAGTGTGTGGTTGCCTCTTGTGCACCCACTGGACATGGAGACCTGGCCTGCAACCCAGGCATGTGCCCTGACTGGGAATTGACCTGGTGACCCTTTGTTTTGCAGGCTGGCGCTCAGTCCACTGAGCCACACCAGACCGGGCTCATTTTTTAATGGTTGTAGCCTTATTCTTAAACCCATAATTTTCCCAATTATTTCATTACATATAGGTTGTTTCCAGATTTTTGCTAATGAAAACAGTGTTGTTAGCATTTTGTTTATATAGCATTTTTTTTCTTTTGATTATTTTCTTGAGATAAATTTCTAGGCCTGTAGAAACTAGTTTTTTTGTGGTCGTTTATTGCCAGATAGTTCTCCAAAAGGATTTACTTATTTATAGTGATAATCACACCTGCTCCAAGTATTCAGTTTTGCTTTTTCTTATTTATTTTGGTATTTTGATTGGTATTTATAATTTTTACTTGAATTTTAAAAAGTTAGAGGTTAAACTGCTACTTTCACAGTTTTGATCATTTTGCAGGTCAGTTTTCTGTTCTTGTCATATAGCATAAGAGATCGCATAGAATAATAATTAATAGCGAGGCTTTGGGTTGATAATGTATAGTTACGTGCCTTGGGCAAGTCACTTGATCCTAGGCCTGAGCATCCTTGAGCATCCGTAAAGGAGGTCATAGCACTTTTCAGGGGTGTGGGGGTTATAAGGAAGGCCAAGAGGATGTTGGATAGGAAGGGGTCTGCTCAGTGCCACGCACATTGTGAGAGCCCTTACACAAAGTGTAATTCTGATTTTCATGCACGCGTAAGGTAATGAGGTGGAATGGACTTTGTGTAAAATAATACAGTGTCAGTGAAGAGAAATTTGAATGAGGAACTAGTTACTTGACCACACAAAAAGATTTCTAAACTGAAGATGTTAATCTGCTTTAAAAATGAAAAAGAGAATACACTTAAGTGGAAGTAGAGATAAAAAATTGAGATTCATTGATTGTGAAGACAGTGTCAGCTATTTGGTTAGGCATGTAATTAATCAGCGTTTTAATTTAATCCTTGCAGTTACTCTGAGATATCATTATCCTTATTTTATGGGTTTGGAAGCTTTTAAGCTCCGAGGGTTTAAAAATTTCCTGAAGTTATATATATAACCAGTGTTTATATATACTTTGCCATGATATAAAAAGTCTTCGGGTAGATGTAGCTAATATGTGCTAGAGCCCAGGTATTCAAAAGAGAGAAATCCCTAGCTATAGGGAGTAGAACAGTCTCCATTTATTTATTTCAATCCTACTCCTCCCTCAGGGCTTTCAGATACACTTTTTCATGAAACTGCCCATGTTTCTCTAACGGAGAATTAATTAGGCTTTTTATATGCTACCAAAGTAAAGTGCTTTTTATCACTGTGTAGCTTTTATTTCACTCCGGACGTAGATGCACAGGACTTTTCTCCAGGTAAAGCTGAAAGCCAGGCTGTGCTCATCTTAAACCACACCCTCCCCTCCTTGAAATACCTAATAGACGGTAGCTGCCTAACTGTGTGCTTGAAATGAGTTTGTGACATTACGAATTAAGGTTTTTGAGGCAAGATTGTCTGATTATTTTTGTTAGGAATCCTGCAAGATGGTGAACTTAAGAGAATATTATGAGAGGGCTTTGAGAGAGTTTGGATCTGTAGATTCTGGTAAGTAAACTTAAGTTATAGACACACAAGTCTGTTTGCATTTGTGGTCTGTAACCTATCAGCACGGTTAGAAGAGTGTTTCTTAACTTTTTTGGGTCATGGTCATCTTTGAAAATAAAACGTGCATTTTCCCCTTGCCTCTTCCCTCACTTGGGCATGAATACTTGCAGATATAATTTTACTTATAATTTCAAGTTCACAAATTCAAGAGTCCATGGGTCTTCTATAAACTCTGGATTAGAGAAAGATTTGCTTGGTTTGGTTCTCTTTAAAAAATGTATTTGTAAGGGGAAGGTTAATAACTAGGTCAGAACAAAAAGGAGTGGGAGTTATGGTGAAGGGGTGGTGAGTGTCATGCTAATCCACACTAGTTGTCATTGGCTGCAGCCACATTGTCCTCATTTATAGGACTTGCAGAACATACTTTTGGGCGTAGGTGTGTCATGTAGCATCTGACACATATAGTTGTTCAACTCCCATTTAAAAAAATACATTAGTTCTTAAGAGGTTTCAACAGACCTTCTGATGGAATGCATGAAAAGGTCATTTTTACTAACCCAGACAAGTTTTGGTACCGAGGTAATAGTGAACTCATTGAGGTCAATTTCACCTTGAAAGAGACTCAACAAAATCCTACCTCTAAAATATTTAGTATAGTTGAGTTTGTCAAATATATAGACTGTCATGATTAAAGTGAAGTTTTATACTTAAAAAATAGCTTTGATACACTTTAGTATAAAGGTGATGAGGGTATTGTTTCACATAGGGTTCTATGGAAATAAAAAGAAGTTTCTTAGAAATCTGTGTTGAAATTAAATAATTAGGTTTACCCAATAGAGCATCATCAGTTATCTAATTGTATGTTTATAGTAATTTTTGGGTTCCCTTTAAAGATCTTTGGATGGATTACATAAAAGAAGAATTGAACCACCCCCTGGGTAGACCTGAGAACTGCGGACAGATACATTGGCGAGCCATGAAAATGTTGCAGGGAGAGTCGGCAGATGTGTTTATAGCTAAACATGCTCTGCATCAAGCTGGCCATTTGTGAAAAGAGGAAGACCACGGCTGACTTGGCAAAATAGTGTTGTGAGCCCTCTGGGCACTTTCAGGTTATGAGTTCATCTGCCATTTGCAGACAAGATTTTGTGACATGTTCTAATTTTGTTACTGTGTTAATCTTTAATTCCAGAAAAAGAGAACTGCTGTTCAGTGGCCAAAGGCTGCTTGTTGAGCTGGATCTACTGTAGGTGCTAAATGTTTCCTAAAATTTGTGGAAATTGTGCAGCTGAATTTCTTTTATTACTCCTGGTCAAGGATGAATGCCTCTAATCTAGACCTAGGGGCCAGCTGAAATGGAGGAGAAAGTATGGTTGTTTGTTTATTCTCTCTTTGTTACAAAAGTATACCTGGTGTGCATTTGTTGTAGAAAATATGGGGAGGATAGAATAATGAAAAAATAAAAGTATCCTGTAATGTCATCTAGAGTTAAACTCAGTAACTTGGTTTTCTTGATCAGAATTGGATTTATCCTCTTAGATCATTTATTCATTCACTGCATGGCCATCATAAGCAGGAAAGAAGAGAAGTTCTCTGGGATGGAGTTATGGGTTAGAGGAACACAGCTGGATGTCCTGAGAGCTGGCTGAAGCAGCAGAGAAGGATGCTGGGTACTGGGGCCAAAGTTGTCCTTTAAGAAGAAAGACATTGTAAAAGTGTCTTCTGTCTCTGGGACTGATCTACAGAGAAATGTTTACAGCTGGAATGAAACTGGAAGAGTCAGCATATGTGCTACGTCTCAGTACCAGAACCCATAGGTAGAGACAAGGATTGAATCTTCATGGGCGCTTTATTTATATGCTGGTTATCTGAGAAGATACTGGGTTACTACCCTAAAAAGTGTCTTCATATTTTACCTCAACCTGACCTTTCTATAGGGAGAAGAAAAGGATAGGTAAGGAGTTAGGGAAAAGGTTAAACAGATCAGAGTTGCAGACCAGGGGCAATTTTCTTAGTATTTCTTTGTCTACTGATCAACAGTTCTTTATCTGCATCATGGACATTCACTGCCTGGAACACCAGGGCTCAGATATCTCATCTCTTACAGACCCCCTGGGGCACAAAGGTTGAGTTGCTCGGCAACCTCCTGGAGTCTTATAGGTCATGCATTCTGGTTCCTGGAATAACAACTTTCCATGTGTGTCAGTCACTTAAGCCTATCAACTACAACTGAATCGAAAACTCAGTTCCCCTATCAGAAGGCCTGACAGCCAAAGAAGGGCAGGGATAGGGAGTAGTTTAGAGCTGCTGAGAAGGGCTTCAGAGGCATTGGCAGAGGATGGTTTGGAGCAGAGAAGGGCATTCTGGGAGCAGGGGAGGCAGTTTGAATTTTGTATACTTTGACTTAATGTTATGAGAAGCATTCAGTACAGTTATGTTTCACTTAATGTTAATTTTTCATTTTAAAATAGCCTTAAGAACATTTCCCTCGGAGCATTCCAGTGTGTAGATGAGCCGTGACTGACTTTATTAATCTATGATTGGACCTTGTCATTTCTAATTTTTTTTATAAATGTTGATGAAGATTCTTGTAAATCTTTGTTTATATCCGTGGTTATTTTTTTTAGGAGATTGACATCTGACAGAAGTATTGGATTAAAGGACACAACTTATTAAAGGAATGTTGATGTATATAGTGTCAACTTGCAATGTATGAAAATGCTGTTGAGCAATGTATGAAAGTGTGAGCACCTTTAGCTGCAGTGGATGTTTTAAATTGTCATTTTAATAGGAGAAAAAATAATACTGTTTTCACGTGCATTTCTTTGACATTAACGAAGTTCGTGTATTTTTCTTGGTTCTCTTGTTTTTCATGTTTTTTGACAGTTTCTTAAAACTTTTTTCTTACTAATTTATAGGGGTATTTTAATATATTAAGAATTTACTCTTTAGGTTGTCATTATTACAAATAATTGGCCCGAGATGCCTTTATTTTCTTTTGTCTGTGCGATTTTTACTGTTGATAACCCCTGTTCTTGCTGAGCACAGCTCAGATTTTTTTCCCCCAAAACCATTTGCGTCCATTTTTCTCTCTGCTGATTTGTGATAATAACTTGATATTAAATTCCTATGAATATTAGAGTCTGTTTTAGGTCATTTTTATTTTGAACTTTTGTCCTCGAAATATTTACTTTTCATTTGTTTTAAAATATGAAAAAGTTTCCTCTTTCTGATTAATTCCAGGGATGGTTGTCATTCTAAATCTGCACACAGCATTTTTATTTCAGTGAGGGGACACGTGCTGCAGGAGAGAGAGGAGAGCCGAGGGTGGAGGTCAGTGTCAGGACCCCATTCCCACTATGCTGTGTCTGGTTCTCACCACTGCAGGTTATGCAAAGGCATCTTGGTGGCCCACCTCAGGCTGCACTGTTAGCTGCGGTAGTTTCTAGCTCATATGGCAATTCAAATTGATTAAAATTAATTCAGTTTTTCATTTACACTATCAACATTTCAAGTGTTTAATAGCCATATGTTTACCGTATAGAACTGCACAGATAATAGAATTTTTATTCTTACTGCTGCAGAAGATTCTATTGGACAGAGTTGACCTATAGATAAATTAGGTTGGGAGAAGCTGACTCACAGGTCGGAGCAGAGCACACATTAAGTACCTGTCACATGCTCTTCCCTGTGGGGAAGTGCACGGAGGAAAAAGGAAAAAGGAACATTAGGTACCAACTGTTACACCAGTTTTTTCAAATATCTCACATAGTTTTCAGGCAACACGTACTTTGAAGGAGGTGAAGGACTAGGTTCTGTAATCTCCCAAAGATTGTATTATCGTGGTCTGGTGAGCCAGCTCACAGCTTTCCTGCTACTTAAATGTTAACATGCTTATCACACCTTGAGGCGGTTTGTTAACTTAGGCAGGGCGGGCAGGGAAAGGCAGTGAGTGAAGCATGTTCTTGCCTATCTTCTGCCACCTTCAGGTTGTAGAGGGCCAGACCCAAGCAATTAAAAGATCTTTTCCCAGGGCAGACTACAGTCAGCACAGTCCTAAAGGCTACTATGACCAAGTGTCGTCATGTGTTCAGCACATTGTCGGAGTTTTTTTTTTTTTTTTTTTTTTTAATCATCTGCCCTGGTTTCTAATGGACTAACTTTAAGAACTACCATTAAGGTGGAGAATCACAGGGGTCCTGTGTTGTCTCATCTGTCTATGGATTACAGTTCAATTCTAGCATGTGTTCTAGAGAAATCTGTAAAGTCAAAAGTGAAATGTGGTTCGAGCTACACTTGCATTAAAAGTTTTTACAGCTCACATGTATACATTATTAAGTGGACCCGGGTAACAGGAATGGAAGGTTTTGAAGCTGGATAGCGATGACATTCATCATTCCAGACTCAGTTGCCCAGCCCGGTGACTAAGGACCTGAGCTACAAAAAATCAGATTGGGACTGGTAGATGGGCTTTCGCGGTTGGGGGCGCCCTGCCCCTCCTGCACCGCCCCGCCTCTCCTCCTCGTGACCACGTGTCCCGCCCCCTCCGCCCAGAGCACCTCTGGCTGATTGGCCCCTCCGCAGCGTATCCTCGGGCTTGCAGCCAGGCCGTGCATCACGTGGCCGTGGCCGAGCAGCGTCCAGGGCGCGAGGGAGCGGAGCCGCGGGCTGCCGGGCATGGACCCGCAGACCTCCCGGGCCGTGGCGCTTGGGGCTGCGGAGCCGCCTCGGGGTCCGTCCCTGCCGAGCGCGCGGGAGGCGCCCCCAAGCCCGGAGGTGAGCACCGCGTGAGCCGGGCAAGGCCATCACCTGCAGTGGGGGTGGGAAGTTGCGGGGGCGCCTCGGAGCTGGGGGAAGCGCCTCGGGCCACCCGGAGACCGTTGAAACCGCCAGGCCGAAGGGCTGCGGGGTGCGGGCCTTTAGGGCGGGGCACCACAGAAGGGTGGATAAGCGCTCGGGGTCGGGAAGGAAGGCTTTGGCCCCTGGGCGCCACTGCGTACTTGCTAGATGGGAGGTGATGCAGGGGACCCAGGGCTGGGGGCGGCTGCCGGGTGGGAATGGGGGTGGGGGTGGGGGGGGGGGTTAGGACCTGGGCCAGGTGGGGGTGGTGAGGAGAGAGACTTTTCCTAAAGGACCTGTGACCACTGGTGGGCATGCTCAGCTAGCCCTGAGCACCAGATGAGGTCTCCGGCCTTCTCTTCTCAATAAAACCCGCAGGCCCGGTTTGACGCAGGGTTTCCAGAAACTTGTTTTCATTGGCGTGCCGGGCAGCTCCTGATTTTTTAAAAGTCCATTATTAACGTCATACATAACCTGCCCTTGTTTGCAGTCACTAATTTCTGCTAGACGATGTCCTCCTTGAGGGTAGAAATCCTCTGTGTACTGCTGTTAACCTGGCGCTTAGCGTAGTGCCTGGCATAGTAGACATGCTTATTAATTGGTCGGAGGAATGGCAGGCTTGTTCAAGTATCAAAGATAGTACTAACCAAAGTAAGAGATTTCTCTAACCAAAGTAAGAGAAATGTAGTGATAGACTTATAAAGAAAATTGCTTTGGAGCACAGATATGATGAGACTAAGGTTGTTAGGACATAGTAGGAAGGGATGTGCGCTTCCTCTCAAGGTGAGAGGGTGGCGATGCCTGTGGCGATGCGGAGATGAGGGAGTGCGGGGCAAATGCCGGGGAACTTGGGCTGCAGAGCCGAGAGAGCACTGTGCTCAACAGGTTGCTGGCTGTGAGTTATCACTGCCATGGGTAATTTTGTGCTCCCGCAGTAAAGGCGAAGATTTTTGAGGAGCGCAGTAACTAACACTGCAGGGCTAGGCAGGATGAGTGAGTGGGGAGGCAGTTATGGGGTTATGGCAGTGGTGGAAGTGAGAGGTCTCACCAGCTGGCCCTCAGTAGTGACTGAGGGTTGTTACTGACTGTAGGGGGAGGAGTTGATGTTTTAAATCTAGGTGTGACTAGATCATGAGCTAATTGGGACAGGTGCCAAATGCAATGTAGATGTAGGGGCAAAGAAGGTGGGTTTATCTATTTTTTTTAAAGATTTTTAAAATTTATTTTTAGAGAGGGGAAAGGAAGAAGAAAGGGAGAGAAACATCGGTATGCGGTTGCCTCCCACGTGCCCCCTACTGGGGACCTGGGCTGAAACCCAGGCATGTGCCCTGACTGGGAATTGAACCTGTGACCCTTTGGTGTGCTGGCCTGCACTTAATCCACTGAGTCACAGCAGCCAGGGCAGAAGGTGGGTTTAGATTCAACAAACAAGACATTCCTTCTACGTGCTAGGTGTTCTCATAAACGTTTTGTCATCTTAAGCCCCCTGCGAGGTCGGAACAATCATCCTCAGTTTCCAGAGAAGGAAACCCAGACAGTGGTTGAAGTGACGTGTGCCGGGTCCCAGGCTGAACGAAGGGCAGAGCCGAGACTGAAGTGAGGTCTTCTCGTGCAGCTGTGAACGTGTCTTATTCTGTTTAGTAGGAGGTCTTAGAGGTGGCAGGACTTAGGGAACTTCAGAGTGGTGAGAGCGGAGAGGACAAAAGATTCCCTTAGCATCACTGAGAAACTAAAGCTCTCTCACCCCTGTCTATCAGTCAGGAGACAGAGAATTTGATACAGTTGTTAATTAGATAAGAAATTGTCAAGCAGCTGAAAAGTTAAAAGTGAACACAGAGGTAGCAACTGTAGGAAACAGCTACCAATCTTTGGGCTGAGGGAACAAAGGGATGAGGTTGGAATGGTTAAAATTTACAAGCTCAGAGGAGGGGCTTTGCAGAGCTGAAGTTCCAGCCTCTCAGGAGGGGGCACCACCCCAGTTAGTGCTGGGGTCTCTGAGCTTGATGGGGAAGTCCTGAGAGAGCCTGGGAGTCAGAGCTCTGGAGACCGGGCCAGGCAGTGAGGCTGGCTTTGCAAGTGTCGGTGCAAGTTGGATTCAGTGGCCGCTCTAGGAAGGTGCTCCTGCTGCCAGGGCGAAGTGTCAGTGGGGTAGTGCCTTCAGGGTTTCAGAGTCCCAGCCCCACACATAAGGGGGTGGAGGGGTGTGTGTGGATGGATGGGTTTGTGGCCGAGACACAGCTTAATACTGGGGCTACCCCAGATGTCCAAGTCCTGGGTAATTGTTCCTTCTTCTGGCAGGCTGGCTTTGGCCCAGACGACTACTGCAGTCAGGAGAGAGAGACGAAGAAGGCCACAGATCGCCTAGGCAAGTAGATGGCAGAGACCGGGTGAATGTCGGGAGAGACCAGGGAAGCAACAAGGGGGACAGACCCTGTGTCTTGTTTACCTTCTCTTTCTAGCAGGTCCTCTTAGCTGTCCCATTGCCTTTTCTGCCTCGTGTTCCAGTAGTGCCCTCGTTTGGAAGCCCCACTGGAGCTTCCTTAAGGGAAGTCCCGAACTTGTGTCCAAACTTATCGCTTCTACTGAGGAAGACAGCTTAGGAAAGCAGTGAGGATATAGGCTTTGGAGCCAGGAAGATTGTTTCCACTTTCAGTTCTGGGTTAGAGCCCCGGCCTCAGAGTTTTGTTGCCTTAGAAAAGTCTCTTATCTTTTCTTTCTTTCTTATTATTATTATTTAAGATTTTATTTATATATTTTTAAAAGAGAGGGCCAGGGAGGGAGAAAGAGGAAGATGGAGACATAAGTCTGTAGGAGGAACATTGATCAGTTGCCTCTTGCACACCTCCCAGCTGGGGACCTGACCCACAGCCCAAGCATGTGTCCTGACTGGGAATTGAACTGGCGACCCTTTGGTTTGCAGCCTGTGCTCAATCCACTGAACTACACCAGCCAGGGCCTCATTTAAGCATTTTAAAGCATACAGTTCAGTGGCATTTAGCACAGTTACAATTGTTATGTAACCACCACCACTGTTTTGTTCCCCAGAGGAATTGGGGAACTGGATTTTCATCGCCCCAGAGGAAACCTTCTACCCGGAAGGTAGTCATACCCCATCGCCCCTTTCTTGTGCCCCTGCTGACCACTGATCTGCTTTCTGTCTCTATGAATTTACCTGTGCTGGACAGTTAACTGTAAATGGATCATATACTATGTCGGCTTCTTTCAGCATAATATTTTTGAGATTAATCCACCCAGCATGCATCAGCACCGGCATCCCTCAGAGGTATTACAGGTTTGGTTCCAGACCCTGCAATAAAGCTGCTGTTACAGTAAAGCTAGTTGTGATCTTCTGCTGGTAGAGGGTTTTTTGCCTTTATAAAAATCTGTGAAGGGCAATAAAGCCAAATGCCATAAAACGAAGTTTGCCTACAGTTCATTCCTTTTTATGGCCGAATAATCCCATCCCATGTATAAACCACGTTTTGCTTACCCTTCATCAGTTGGTAGGTGTTGGGTTGTTCCCACCTTTTGGTGATTGTGCGTAGTCCTGCTGTGAACATTTTTGTACCAGTTTTGTTTGAACACCTGTTTTTAATTCTTTGGGGTATCCATTTAGGGGTGGGTTGTATGTTAATTCTGCATTTAAGCTATTGTGGGAATCAGTGGAGTATATTAAGCTCAGTAACGCTTTTAGTAATTGGCAGAACTGGGGTTTGGACCCAGGCAGTTTGGCTTCAAACCTGCGCCCTGAAGTAGTGCTTTTCTTCCTTACAGCTGCCACTACCATGTAGTGTTAATAGGCTGATTCATCTCCCAGCTCTGCCTGGCATCGCCATAGCACCGTGTGCCTGGGGGTTCTTTGTCCTTCCCCAACTTTCTCCCATTCTTTTGAGCAGAAGAGCTCGGGCGCGTTCAGGGTGGCAGGGCCGTAGACGAGACCTTTTGAAAATGGACCTCCTTCTGTCGGGGGGAGGCGTTGTGGTGGCTGTCCTTTGTGACTGGGCAGGTTCTGCTCTTCTTCGGCTGGCTTTGATCCTAATCCTACTTTCCTGCGCTCCCCTCTCACTGCTCTTTGAGGGGAGGAGGAATAGAAGAGCAGAAATTCAATTCACACCTGTGTTGTGAAAATTTATTATTTGCTTTAACGACGTGTAAGCTACCTAAAAGTGTATACTGTGCCTGACCCCCTTGTAATTCACAAAAGTGAAGGCAGAATAGCGTATTGGACAGAATTGATCAACTCTACTTCTAAAAATGTCAAGAGAACTTTCAAAAAAAATACTCTGGTAGCTAAAGAACTCTGTATGCATGTTTTACCACTGCCCTCTTAGTTAAGTCTGCCAAAAATTTCCCAGGCACTCTGCTGGTTAAGACCTTCTTCCTTTCATTGATTTCTTAGCCAGTGGAGCGCAGAGCATCCCTAACGATAGTCCTGCCGGGGGCGAGGGCCCCCCTTCTGAAGAGGAGGGCTTCGCTGTGGGGGATGAAGATTCTGACGGGGAACTGAGTGCCTGGGAGCTGTCGGAAAGGACGCCCCGCTGTCTGCCCACGGAACGGGCTGCTGAGCTTCTCCACGAGGACTGGGACTCGGAGTTGAAAGCAGATCAAGGGAATCCATATGGTAGGTGGGGAGTTTCTGGGGTACTAGGCCAGGGTTTGGGACGCTCCTACCAGGTTACCCCTAAAGGCAGACAGGATTTAGAAGAGGGACCCGCCGCTGTGAGCTCAGCTGATGTCTGTTACGGATCTGCAATTTCCGTGACAGCTTCTTTTTCATATTGAAAAAAAAATACATGCACATTTTACCTTTGACTCCATAATGTATCAGTTGGTTTTACCCTTGAAACAATGTTACTCTCTCCAAATATCTTTGTGTGAACTGAGCAGCTGCAGACAGAAGTGCCTTGTTATCCAATTGCTGCCTCTGCACTGCCAAGAACTGTTGGCTGGGAAGCCCAGCTGTGGGTACCCTCAGAAAGAACATGCCCGAGATTCTTCCGGAAAGGAGTGTGTGTGTGTGTGTGTGTGTGTGTGTGTGTGTGTGTTTAAAGTGTGAGTAGTTTCCTTCTAGACATTTTTTGGCTATTTGTTTTCGCCTTTACTCCTCCTTCCTTTAATCTTGTCTTTTAAAATGGCCTTCCAGATGCAGACGACATCCAGGGTTGCGTTTCTCAAGAGGCCAAGCCTTGGGTGTGCTGCGCCCCGCAAGGAGAAATGCTCTATGACCCCAGCTGGCACCACCCCCCTCCGCTGATACCGCATTATTCCAAGATGGTCTTTGAAACCGGACAGTTCGATGACGCCGAAGACTGAGTGCAGCTTCTGCCTGGCAGGTAGATGGGCTCTCAAGATCCAGGTCTCCTTTTCTTTGAGGTGAGATGTCATATCTGAGGAAATCCTCCCAGTGGTCCCCGAGCCAGCTACACAGACTGGTGTTAAATAAGGTTCCACAGTCCCCTCGTTCTTTTGTTGTTGTGTGGTTTTTAAAGAGCTCCTTTTTGGACGTGCGTTTTGTTTCTGTGTCAGGAGGAGTTGTGTTCTTTATAAATAAAGGTAGCAAAGAAAACTGATGTGTTTTTGTCTCTTCACGCCCCCCCTTCCCATTTAATTAGTTACTTCCAGAAAAGGCCTTGTTCCTTCATTGAAAGCTTCTGATTTACGCTTTCAGGATTGGAGGGCGTGGGGGCTTAAAAATGCTTTGTGAAAGAAAATACTCCTTTAAGTTTTGAGCCTGCAGATCTGGCACCATTGGCTGCCCACTGGAATCCAAGAAACGTTGGTGACTTTGTGGTTGATTTCTTTTCCTGTTGATGGGAAATTGATCAGTCAACAAGGACTTTCTGTGGGCTGGAAAACTAAATGGCCAATGGATTATACCAGCACTTATATAACCCTCAGTTGGCATGACAGGATTTTAAAATTATTTTCCACTTAATGTTTTAAGACTTATAATTATTTATATGAAGTCACTGTTTTTTAAAAGAATTACCTCATTTTAGAGATGAGGAAAAGAAGATGGAACATGTAGACCTCTTCGAGATCACACAAGCAGGAAATGGCAGAGCTGGGACCTGCCCCACGGGTGACGTGAAGTCTGTTCTCTCGGTGGGCCCTGTGAGTGTGAGGACCCGGCGGCGGGGCTGGGGGCCGTGCCTCGGCAAGTCTGGGGCGCGTCCGACTAAGTCAGCTTCGCCTTTTTGGCGGGCTGAGGGCTTGCTTGCTGCTTTACCTCCCTGCCTTCTTACTGCAGCTGAATCAAGAAAGACCTTCAGATCTGAAGTCTGAGTCAACTCCATTGTGATGAAATGAACATCTAACCTTTTAAACTACTTTTTCAGAGGCACCACAAAGGATGAGCAAGGCAGAACCTCATGAGGACAGGCGGTGGTTTTGACTGAGGGCCCTCACGGCCAAGGCCGTCCTAGGGAGACGGAGTGTTTCTTCCGCCATCCTCGCTGAAGGGCTGGTCGTAGACCCTGTCGCTGCGCTGCTCTCCTCTCAGTGCCAGAGCTGATAAGACCGCTGTGAGAACGAGTGCCCGTGGTGTGATGAGGTGGATTTGAGAAACTAAACCGAGAAACAAGGGGGCGTGAGGGGGACCGCGGAATCGCTGGATGGGAAGGGCGTGTTATTGACGGGGTGCCGTGGCTCATGCGTGAGCCGAAGCGGTCAACACAAGTCACGAGGTGCGGGAGCACATGCGTGTGGCGGGGAAGCAAAGGCCCTCGTGCCTCAGGAGGGCAGAGGACGTCCACAAGCCGCTGCTTGGTCCGCGGCGCAGGCGGGGTCCGGGGCTCGCGCTTTTCAGAAGTTGGCCTTTGTGGTTTCCCCTCCTGGTGGTTTTCACAAAGCAGGTGGGAGGGGAACGGGGTCTGTTGGAGCAGGGACCTAGCAAACTGTTCTCTGTGAGTTAAAAAGAAAAACAGGACTTCTGGCCAGGATGTGGCACAGGTAAACATGGCTTGCCTCCTCACACAACCACGTCAAAATGACAACTAAAATGTATAGAACAAGATCACTCAGAAGCGTCAGAAATTGAGTCGAATGGAAGTCTTGATGACTACAGAATTAAAAAAAGTACATCCATCCAGGCTGGTAGGAGGGGTACAGAGTGGAATGGGTTTGTCCCACATTCACATGTGGTGGATAAAAATTCGGGAGGGACATCTCAGGAGTGAGGAGTCCCAGCCCTGGTGTGGTATGGAACCCCAGAGTTCCAGTGCCAGGAAGATAAGTCCCCAAAACATCGGGCTGCAAAACCACCGGTAATTGTGTTGGTGGAAGAAACTTCTGGAGTCCCAAGTCGTTCTTAACCCACACGTTGACTTAATCAGACTCATCCCCTCTGAGCTCCATCACTGGGGTAGCAGATTGAAAGGCAGCAGTGGCATACAGGGGGGAAATGAAGTGTCTGTCATCAAGGTGAGAGCTGGGGGACAGAGAGGCGGGCAGAGACCATTGTCTCTTTTCTGTTCCCTCATAGAGCCGGCAGGCTAATACCATATCTGAGATTCCATCAACCTGGCTAGTGTTCTTTGCCCTGTGTTGGAGACCCCCGAGACTCTGTCCACCCAATTTACATGCCCACCCAAGCTGCTTTTCTCTATGAATGGCTGCTCTTGGCTCATGCTTCACGACTTACTAAACCCTCTCAAACAAGTGACAGCCAGCCTCAGTGAAACCGCAGGCCCTGTACCTTTTGCTGAGTGGCCCCAGGCCTGGCACTAGCAGCAGTCAGCCTATAGTCACAGCTTGGCTTTGCCTGGGACTCTCCAAGTTCAGCACAAGTAGGAGCCATCTCAGATTGCTTTCCAGCTCAGAAAGGGTGGCCCTGGGCAAAACACAGGTGGAGGCTGACCTTGGCCTGCACCACGTGGGGAACCCCAGAGCCTGCACACCCAGTGGACAGCTACAGACCAGGTCAGAGCACCACCACCCTGACCCCACACAGGGTGGGGTTGGTGGGCTGGGGTTGGTGGTCAGTGGTCGCAGCCAGTCACTGCAGCTGACTGGCCTGGGTAAATGCCTCCCACTGACCTGCCAATAGCAATCAAGTCTCAACTACAAGAGGAAGGTGTACTCAGCCCACACAAAGGGCGCATCTTTAGTACCCAGCTTGGGTGATAGGGGAGGCTGTGCCATTGGGCTCTACAGGACACCCACTACGTTAGGCCACACTACCAAGTCGGGGAGTCAAAGCAGCTCCACCTAATACACAGAAACAGGGAGGCTGCCAAAATGAGGAGGCAGACAAACATGGCCCAAATGGAAGAACAGATCAACCTACCCCCCCAAAAACTAAACAAAATGGAGATAAGCAATCAGATGCAGAGTTCAAAACAGTAGTTATAAGGCTGCTCAAGGAATTTAACGAGGACCTCAACAGCATAAAAAAGATCCAGTCAGAAATGAAGAATTCACTAATTAAAATAACAATTTACAGGGAAATAAGAGTAGAGTGTATGAAGCCAAAAATCAAACCAATGACTTGGAACATAGGGGAGCAAAAATAACCACACGGATAAAGAAGAATAAAAGAGTCCAAAAAAAAGGGATAGCATAAACAGCCTCTGGGACAACTTCAAGAGTCCAACATTTGCATCAAAGAGCAAGAAATTGGACATCTTTTTGAAAAACCAATGAAAGAAAACTTTCCTAATTTGGCAAAGGAAATAGACATGCAAGTCCAGGAAGCACAGTCCCAAACAAGATGGATGCAAAGAGGCCCACTCTAAGACTCACCATAATTCAAATGCTAAAGGTTAAAGATAAAGAGAAAATCTTAAAAATGATAAGAGAAAAGCAGTTGCTTATCCACAGGGGAGTTCCGATAAGACTATCAGCTGATTACTCAAAAGAAACTTTGCAGGCCAGAAGGGATTGGCAAGAAATATTCAAAGTCATGAAAAGCAGGCTTATACAGCCAGGATTACTCTACCCAGCAAAACTATCATTTAGAATTGAAGAGCAGATGAAGGTCTTCCCACACAAGGAAAATCTAAAGGAGTTCGCCATCACCGAGCCATTATTATATTAAGTGTTAAAGGGACTTATTTAAGAAAAAAGATCAAAACTATGAACAGCAAAGTGGCAATAAATACATATCTATCGTGTACTGAATCTAAAAAACAGCCAACAAGAATAGAGACAGAATCATGAATACAGAGTTCTGAATACCCATGGGCATGAACAATGGTGGGGATTGCCTGAGGGGAGTGGGGGGTGCTGGGTGGAGAGGGGACAGAGGGAAAAAGATAAGGACCACTGTAATAGCATAATCGGTAAACTGTAACTAAAAATAGAAAGTACATAGAAAAGAAAAAGGAAAAACAGAAGGGCTTTTATGGCTTGAATGCTGGGTATGTCAGGAGGACAACCAAAGAGGGGGAGCATTAGTCAATTGTTCTGATTTAAATATTGTTCTAGTGCCCCCTATAGGATGAGTCAAGCATAGAGACTCCCTGGGCTGTGAACACTAGTTATCTCAAGGCAGTTAGTGGAGAGTAAGGAACAAAGGTAGTGAAATGGAAAAATAGCGATGACATAAGTGAAAATACAGACTGTGAAACTACTCAGATAATGTTGCGAGTGTGGGCACATGGAAACAATTTGATTAAACTGTGGAGGTTGTGGACAATTTGTATTTTTGTTATTTTAATACAGATTTTCAGTGAGATATTTAAAATAAGGAGAAGATGTTATTCAGAGGCAGGGTTGCCTCCTCTGCCTCGTGTCCCTGCCGTCTGACAAACATCCCAGCCCTCGCCCTCCTTGCTCCGCTGCAGGCACGGTTTGGGGCCTGCCTCCCTCCGGAGGGCGAGACCGCCGCAGGTCGGACCACGACTTCCTCCTCAGCATCCGCGTGTCCCAGCAGGGGCGGAGGGAGGGGGCGCTCTTTGCCTTGGCTGTGCAGGGGTGGGCAAAGTAGATTTACAGTTGTGAGTACCCGAAACACAGTTTATTCTTTTTTTTATTATTTATTAATTATTGAATTATTTTCCACACAAACAACTGCAAACCTATTTTTGCCCAACCCTGTATTTACAGTTGAATGTCCCAGGCTGGTGATGAATAAAATATTTGAAGAACCTTTAAAAAGTCTGTGTTACACCAGATTAGGATGTATTCGGGACTGCTTTTCTATTAACCCACTAGTTTCTAAGACAGTGTGTAGAAGTGGAACAGAGAGAAATGTCTGGAAGAAGTGAGCTTGGCAAACACACTTTAACATGAAAGCCTTCAGTCAATGACCAAATAAATTGTTCTTTAAAAATGAGAGTGTGGCCCTGGCTGGTGTGGCTCAGTAGATTGGGTGCCAGCCTGCAAACCAAAGGGTCACCAGTATGATTCCCAGTCCGGCACAGGCCTGGGTTTTGAGCCAGGTCCCCAGCGCGGAGCATGTGAGAGGCAACCACACATTGATGTTTCTCTCCCTCTCTTTCTCCCTCCCTTCCCCTCTGTCTAACAATAAAAATATATGAAATCCTTAAAAAAATAAAAGAATTAGAGTGTGTGTATGATAAGTGAATTTATAACACAAATTATTTGATAAATAACAAATCATGA